ACTTTTGCTTTTTCATCGATGTGCTTAGTGTAGCGCTCTTTCAGCTCTTCTTTCTGTGAATCAGTCCCGTTCAGAAAAGACATACACAACGAACACTGGTCTTTTTTTGGTCTGTGAAAGGCAATGTTCATGTCATTGAACACCCTTGCGTAGGTGCTGAAGCTCGGCATGTAACCATCATCATTTTCTGCTAGGAACATAGCATACATCTTTGGTAGAGTTAAGTCTGGGTTGAGGTATTCTTTGGAAGTAGACGCCCTGCAGAAATGGGACTCAACTCTCGGGAACCGATCAATATGTTTTGATATCTTTTCCCTGAAGGGACTTGATTCTAGTCTCACGAAGGGGCGTATATGTCTATACGCCTGTTTGTGTGACCGCAGATGAATGAAAAAAGTTTCATTTTCAATCACACGAACAGGCGTATAGACTTATACGCCTGTGCGTGAGACTAGAAGAATGGGACTGTCGGATACGCCTAATTACACAAAACGCACGTCTCTGTAACGATTAGAGCTAGCGATACGCCTCTTCGTGAGAACATAAATCTCGATCTCCGCTTTCATGAACTATGTATAACTCAAAACTTCAAAAATCGCCGATACGCCCCTACGTGAGATGGACGACAAAATGCAAGCCACAAACAGAGCAATCTTTCACAACTATACACATCACAAGCACAAAGTAACTATAGTCTAGTATGCGCATAGGCTAATCGGCGAGACACAGAAGTCTTTTTGTCAAATGCAAAATTTCGCTGTGCATGTGTTTTAAGTACAAAGAACAGATATGTATTTAGGAAAAATTTTGAGCCACACAGAAAATCTGATCTCTCTGTGCATCTTCGCTTTGAGCGAGCTAGACTGCATAAATCTTTCACACACGCCTAAACACATACCACATCTATAGATAGGATCTTTCACTCACTCTCACACACACACACACACCCTACTCATACACACAAAAACACCCCTACCCCTCTCCACACACATACAAACACCCCCCCCTACCTACACCCACCCACCCACACACACACACACACACAAACACACACACACATATACACATACACAAACACCCACCCTGTCCTACAAAACCAACCTAGATTATAAAGCCATCCTGCGGAGCACACACACACACACACACACAAACATCCATCCCACCTTGTCCTACTACAAAAAAACAATCTAGATAATAAATCCGTCCTGCGGAGCGCCCCCGCCGTGGACCTGCTTGTTCTGTAGAGTCTTGTCCTTGAGCTTGGCCTGGAGAAGGATGTGCTCCACCACGCCCGCCCGGATGTCCATCTGCTTGCTCTCGTTCTTCAGCTGATGGATGGACTGCTTGATCCGCACCAGAGGGGCTGGGAGAGGGAGGAAGTTGTTTTTTTTAGTTTTAGTAGAAGTTTTACAGTGCTTGCAACTGCATAAGGTCATAGGATGTTTTAGTAGAGGTGTTACGACGCTCACAACTGCATAAGGTCATATGAGCGTCAGAAGATTAGAGGTGTTACAAGGGAGTAACAAGCATAAAAAAGGAGGACAGATAAAGACGATAGATATTTGATAGGAAAGAAGGAGCAAACCACACCAGAGCATCCGCCAACCACCCACGAGGGAGGAAGAAAGAAGGAGGTCGGTGTATGAGTTACAGAGGAAACAGAAACCCTGATTGTGCAATATATCAGTTTTATTTTTAGTAGACGTTTTACGGCACTCGCAACAGCATAAGGTCATATGAGCGCCAAGTATAAAACATAAAGAAACATTTCGTGAAAGTAAATACAGTATGACACGTATAGTTCGAATTCGTTAGGACCAGCCTTGGTAGTTCGAGGGAAATGTGAAAGACACAAAGGAACTTTCAGTGAAAATAACTAGTTGCTTTAACACTGGTATAATCAGAAACAGATAACAAGCATAAAGTTCCTTTCAACACAGTGAGGTCAGGATAATTAGCTGCAGGACGGACTACGTGCTATGCACGAGAGGGGCTGAGGGAGGGAAGGAGGGACCATCTGGAGTTTGCATTTTAGTTTTAGTAAGAGTTTTACGGCACTTGCAAAACAATAACGTCATACAAGTGCCAAAGAATAGATGTGTTAAAAGAGAGTAACATATACAAAAAAGAAGGAGGAGAAATAAAGATGATAGATGTTTGATAGGAAAAAATCAGAAGACCACACCAGAAGAAACAGAAATCTCAATTGTGTAATACGTTAAGAAACGTTCCCTAAAAATAACTAGTTGCTAGTAACCTTTAACACTGGTATAGTAGGAAACGGATAATAAACATAAAGTTCCTTTCAACACAGTGAGGTCAGGATAATTAGCTGTTGGATGGACCGCTTAATCCGCAAAAGAGGGGCTGGGGGATGGAGGAAGGAGGTTGGTGTGTAAGTTACAGAGAAACAGAAACCTAAATTGTGTAATATACATTAACATTCAGTGAAAGTAAATACAGTACAACACGGATAGCTCCAATTCGCGGGGACCGGCCTTGGTACTTCATATAAGTGCAAAAGATTAGAGATGTTACAAGTGAGTAACAAACATTTTAAAAAGCAGAGATAAGGACGATAGATGTTTGGTAAGAAAGAACAACTCAAGAGCACCCCCCCCCCCCCAACCACACGCTGCACATGATCACACAGTTCCTCAGACTCACCTCCATCCGTCATAGAGCTTCCACGTTCGTCCATTTCCTGTTTCACCTTCTCCAGCTCTTCTGTGATCTGTGGAAAGAACAAGCGATGCTAATCAACAGTAATTTAGTTTTAGTTTTAGTAAGAGTTTTATGGCGCTTGCAACACAAATAGGTTATATTAAGTGCCTGAGATTAGAGGTGTTACAACTGTACCAGAGGGTAGCATACAAAGAAAGGAAGGAGGAGAGATAAAGGACAATCAATGTTTGATAGGAAAGAAGGAGCAAACCACACCAGAGCACCCGCTAACCACCCGCATCAATGGCCATGCACAGATGGGGCTGTACAAGGGTGTGGTGAGTAACAGGCATTAATTCTCCATCACAGCAATCAGCAAAGGTGTCAACAACAAGGATAATGATGATGATGATATGATGATGATGATGATGATGATGATTATGTCAATGTAAACAGCCTCAGTTACAATAACCCACAAGAACTAACAAACTTATTGTTCTCTGGGTTATTTTCCTATCATAAATCTGGTTCACCACTTGAAGTGGCGAGCCATAGGGGAAAGACTAAACACTTTGCGGTCACTTGGCGCAATAATGCGACGGTGAAAATTACCCGTTCTGGTCACCTGGCACAGTTCTGCCCTAGGAAGAAGTCTGTTGCAGTCACTCTCCTGGCTGGGTGACCACATGGGGTATTTTGTACTGCTGGCTGTGTAACTGCACAGTGTTAAGTAAGAAAAGTTCCTCCCATAACTTACCTCGGCAAGAGTCCTTGACCTCTCTGTGACCCCACCACTAGCTTGACGATACTTCTCCTTTGTCTCTGCGAGTGCGTCTTGGACAGATCTGTAAACAACATGAAAGAGTAAATTAGAGGTCTACGGCAACTCCCAAAACTACCGTTATTCCAAACAAAAAGAAAAAAGATGCACTGACGAAAATGTTAGTAGAGGATTAATATAAGTTGAGCTATAAATAATTCCTAAAGGAAAAAAAGAAAAAGATACTTTCTTCTGTCCATAATTAGACAGTCAATTCGAGAACGAGGAAGAAGAAGAAGACAGTCAACAGATACAATTCATTTTTTTATTCTTACTACAATATTATTATAATGTGGGTGGTTGGCGGTGTTCCAATGAGCGGAATTCCGCCTTTAGGCGAACAATTTTCAGCCCTCTTTAGCGATTGTCCAGCATTCACATCCAAAAAGAAGGGTCGACTATACATAGCATTTCAGAACACATAAACAGAGAGAAAAAAAACAACTGGCATCCCTGAAAAGCGCCTTCACCTGAAGTTCATGAGCAAATGTTCCAGCTGGGAGTTGATGTACTTCTCTCGGCTTGCGATCTTCTCCAGGGTGCGAGAGATCTCGTCCTGCAGCTTGTCCAGGTGTGACCGGCTGTCGGTCAGCGAGGTCTCTATCCCCTCGTGGTGCTGGTGCATCTGCTCCAGGTGGACTCGCCAGTCCTGTGGGTGGGGAGAGAGAGTGGAATTTGTACTTTATGACAATGTGGAACTTTCATTTTATTGACAATGTGGAACTTTCATATCATGACATAGAAAGGGAGACAGAATGTGGAACTTTCATATTATGACAATCTGAAACTTTCATGTTATGACAATGTGGAGCTTTCAGATTATGACATTGTGGAACTTGCATTTTATGAGCATCTGGAATTTACATTTTATGACATAGCAAAGGGGGCACAAAGTGGAATTTACATTTAATGACAACGCATAGGGGACCCAATGTGGAATTTACATTTTATGACATAGCATAGGGGACAATGTGGAATTTATATTTTATGACAACACAGAGGGGACACAATGTGGAATTTACATTTTATGACATAGCATTGGGGACACAATGTGGAATTTACATTTTATGACATATAGCAAGGAGATGGTAAAACATCTTTTTTTATGCCCAATAAGCATAAAAGAATCAAAACTGTTGTTTGTTTCCTTGTTCTTACATAACTTCCAAGTCGTAAGCTCTCACCTTATTGTCCGTCCTGATGGTGACCTTGAGCTGTGGCATGACCCTCTCGACCTCCAGTCTCCAGTCGGCGGCATCAGTCGTTGACTCAAGGATTTCCTCAGGCTTGCTGGACTCAAAGTTTTGCTGCAGAAAAGAAAAATAAAAAGTATTGAAAGTGAAAGGGCATTATATATCGATGATGTCTTGCTCTTACTATGAAACTGGAAACCCCTAACATCACAAGACGAGACAGGCAGAGAAATCAAGAAGTAAGAGCAGTTATCGACATTGAATCCTGCCTGCATTACATATATAAAGACAGAGAATAAAATGGTTTGGCCACCTGTTACAAATGTCACCTGGCCAGCCAGCCTCGAGAGCCTACAACACGAAGCACTCAGGCTATAAAGGAAGAGGAAGGCCACCCTAAAGGTGGATCGAGGGTGCCAAAGAAACCCAGAGAAAACATAATATCACAACTGAAAGAGCTGCTGGGCTGGCCTACCATAGAAAACTGCATCTCCCCTCGACGCTTAACGGCAACAGAGGATGAAAAAGTAAAAGTAAAGTAAGTATGCAACTGGAAGAAAATGATCCCCATTTTTTTTTCACTCTAGAACAACTGCCAGCCTTGCCAACTTCTTCAAAACTCAATCAGGGACACCCAACGTAATAACATCAGATTGCGTCGAACACAACTGCATTAACCCTTTGGCCATGTCTGGAAGCTGGCAGTATCCGGTAGTTGAGGTCCGTAGCCATGGCAGGACATTACTGCCGTCCAATGCAAAGTTATTATTGTATTATGGTACGGACCGAATAAAAAAAAAAGTACGAGCTAACAAGGCTTTAATTTGACCCAGAAGTCAAAGATAAATAAATTCTATGTCTGGGTAACGCTTTATTCATCAGTTTGACTCAAAAAAAGCGTTTTTAAAAACAATATGTCGGGTCACATTTCACAAACACAAGAAAATTACGTGAAAATGTGATTTTAAATTTCATGGTTAAAGAATTATGTGGGACTTGTCTTAGTGCAGCGGCAGACATCCTCCTCTCACTGTTTACCACGATCTGGAATGAGAGCAAGTTCCCAAATGATTGGAAAGCAGGACACCTTGTGAAGCTTCCAAAAAAGGGGGATCTCAGCAACTGCAGCAACTACAGAGGGATCACTCTTCTCTCAATACCAGGTAAGGTCTTCAACAGAATAATTCTGGAGAGAATCAAGACAGGAACGAATCCAAGACTACGGGATGAACAGGCTGGTTTCCGAAAAATTCGCTCAACGACCGACCAGATTGCCACGCTGAGGATTATGGTGGAACAGTCCCAGGAGTGGAACTGATTGTCAACTTCCTTGACTATGAGAAGGCCTTTGACAGTATAGACCGAGCGACACTATGGAAGATAATGAGACACCACGGAATCCCACAGAAGTTGGTGAACCTCATCAAGAACATGTACGAAGGGAAACGTTGCAGGGTTGTACATGATGGCCAGCTCACTGACAGCTTTGACATCAAGACTGGTGTGAGACAGGGATGCTTATATCACCGTTCCTCTTCATATTGGCAGTCGACTGGCTGATGAAGGAAACCACCAGAGGACACAGAAATGGTATACAGTGGACACCATGGACACAGTTGGACGATCTGGATTTTGCAGACGACTTGGCGTTTCTGTCACACACCCAGGAACAGATGTAAGCAAAGACTTCAGTATTAAACAGCCTATCGGAGTCTGTTGGATTGAGGATCCACCCCGGAAAGTCAAAGGTCCTAAGGACAGATGCACAACGAAAGGAGCAGGTCACAATAGAAGGAAAGGTACTAGAAAACGTTGAATCCTTCTGCTATCTTGGGAGTATAATTGACAGAGAGGGAGGAACATGTGCTGAAATAAAGTGCTGCATTGGAAAAGCACAGGCTGCTTTCATATCTTTGGATAAGATTTGGAAGACCAGAGATATCTCACTTCGAACAAAGCTGAGGATTTTCAATTCAAACGTGAAGTCGGTCCTGTTGTATAGATGTGAGACATGGAACGCATCACAGACTTGCATAAAGAGGATCCAGGTTTTCTTGAACAAGTGTCTAAGAATGCTACTGAGGATCAGATGGACAGACAGGGTCACCAATGTGGAAGGGTTAAGGAAAACAAGACAGATCCCAGTCAGAGATGAGGTAGGAAGAAGGCGGTGGCGATGGATTGGACATACTCTCAGGAAGTCAGGCAGCTGCATAACAAAGAAAGCTTTGGATTGGAACCCACAGGGCAAGAGATCAAGGGGAAGACCTCATGGAACCTGGAGAAGAATCACAGAAATCGATGTACAGAAAAGTGGGAAGACATGGAATAACATCAAGAGGCTAGCCCAGGATAGTGAAAGGTGGAAGGTGTTTGTCCGTGGCCTATACCCTGGTGCAGGATGAGAAAGGCAATGATGATGATGACCACCGTCCAATGCGAAATTACTATTGTATTATGGTACAGACTGAATATAAAAAAAGTATGAGCTAGCAAGGCTTTAATTTGACCCAGAAGTCAAAGATAAATAAATTCTATGTCTGGGTGATGCTTTATTGATCAGTTTGACTCAAAAAAAGCATTTTTTAAAACATAATATGTCGGGTCACATTTCACAAACACAAGAAAATTACCCAGAAACGTGATTTTAAATTTCATGGTTAAAGAATTATGTGGGACAGGTCTTAGTGCAGTGTATGTGATAAGGTTCTCAAATTCCCGATGGTTGAATCCGGGACAGTTCTGGGAAATCCGGGACAGTTAGCAAGCCTGTATAAGCTTTCCGATTTGCTACTGGTCACAATCTTCATCAAACTGAATGCATCAGATCGTAACCTAAAAAAAACTAATATGTCCGATTTTGGAGGATTTCATCAAATAATGCCAAAATCATAGTCCATAAAGGCAAATCTGGCTACCCTCAAATATCTCAAACCATCTCACATGGTGGGATTTGATGAAACTTTCAGCAGTGTGCCCTGGGTACAAGATACCAGAATCAGAAGACAGATACAGTAAAAAAAATTATTGAAAAAAACAAAAAACAAAAAAACAAACCATGAGCAAGCTGCCTGTCACTGACCTTGTTCAGGTTGAGTCTCTTCATTCCCTCCAAGTCCATCATAGGCTCATCATCATCAGCGTCTTCCACGTCAGAATTTTGCTGTGAACACAGACAACTATCCTAAACACCAAAAGCAAAACACATGTTGTGTTTTTTGATCAGCAGAGTTTGTTTAGTTATACTTTTAGTAAGAGTTTTACAGCGCTCGCAACTACATACGGTCATATGAGCGCACGAAACAAGTCGGTTCCATTCACAACAGTCCATCACTCAACCTTATTTTCGTCAAAATTTTTATTAAAATGTTAAAATGCTAAAAATTCAAGGTAAAAAAGCAGAGTATGTGGCACATACCCCATTTTCAAAAGTCAAAAATAATAATGTAGGTAGGAATAGAAAACATACTGAAAAATAACTAAAACCTTATAACGTAGAGTGCATAAGCAGCTCTGAAGAAGGAGAAAGTTAAGATCAACTAAAAATAATGATAATAATAATAATAATAAAAATAATAATAATAATAATAATGTACGGCATTTATAATACACAGGGAGGGCGGTTGGTGGGTGCTCTAGTGTGGTCAGCTCCTTCTTTCCAATTAAACATCTACCACCTTTATCTTTCCTCATTCTTTTTTGTGTATGTTGCTGTCTTGTCACAATTCTAATCTTCAGAACTTATATGACCCTGTTGCATTGCAAGTGCTGTAAAACACTAATTAATAATAATAATAATAATAATTTTGAAAATGCATTTATATAGCGCATTTCCACACAAAAGTGCTAAATGCACTGTACAATAATACAAAACACATATGCAGCACACAGCCCCTATAGTAATCCTCTTTTTCTCTCTCACTCTGCCTCTGTCTCTCTCTAATTAAAACAAAGTGCACAGGCTCTGAGCTCTTAACTAAACAAAAGAGAAAAGAGAATAATTCCTCCTCGGACTCACTCCTATGGCCATGGTCTTCTCTATCTCATTGAGGGTTAGCTCTGAGTCGTCCTCCACAATGTTTTCCTCGTCCATCTCCTCTTCCGGGTACTGAGGTCTGCCAGGGGAAAAAAATTAGGAGGTCATCAATTTATGTGAGGCGTGCCGACAAAATCAGTTACTTCTCGCAATCCACATAAGGAGATATTGGCTAAAAAATTGACACTTGGGTCAAATTGGTAGATTTGTTTTATCATGCCATATTCTTTATCTTTAACACTTTCCATCCATGCAGCGCAACACTTATCCCCATGGACCAGGATACAGATGCGGAACACCCCGGTCTCATGCGCCCTGAGAACACAGATCCACAGTGTTGTAAATAAAACAACATTCTATTTCCGAGGTAAAGAAAGAGACCTCACTCACTTTTTCCAGTGAAAGTTGGTGCTTTTAAGCGCCTCGTCGGCCAGTCGATCCAAGATGTAGATGCAGTGCTCTCCCCAGCCTTGCTTCAGCTTCGAGGGTGGGAAGTCTATGGCATGACCCTGGAGCATACACACATACACATTATGAAGTTTGATTGATTGAAAACATATGTGTCACGACGCTGTGGAATCAGGTGCTTGTCAATTTTTAGGCATATGGAGCTATTGGTATCATCTAAAAGCCTGTTCATTTGCCTTGCTTTGAATGATAAAAAGATCGTTTTAACTGGAATATAAGTCGAGATTAATTTTGCGATTAAAGGAGGAAGAGGTCACTGGATTCAGAGGTAAAATTAGCGAGAAAATGGCTGCCAAAGTTTGGAGATTTCCATTGCTAGAGAGTCCTTGAAAACAGAAAATTTACAGTTTTTGACCCTTTAATAAACATTTTTCTGTAAAATCCATATAGAAATGAGTTTTTAAATAGACATATAAGGATGTTGAGCCAAAAAAACAAATATCTGATAAAAATTGCCAAACCAGCAGAAAATGCTAGTTTCTTTGATTTCAGTATTTTGACCAGTGCCCGATTTTACCACGATGCCTCACATATGACAATGACAATCTTTATATTCATCTGACAGGGAGAAATGTGTCTTGGTGCGGCATTATGGTGAAATCAGGCGCTCGTCAAAATTGTGAAATCTACAAAATCAACATTTTTTTCTATCTGTCGGGCAATCTTTATAAAATGTTTGTTTTTGTTTCAACACCTTTTATGCTCATTTAAAAACATACTGTTTCACTGATCTTACTTTTGTCACTTAATGTTAATCAAATAAGAACACTACAGCCTTGGACATCACCCAACGTTGGTGGCCATTTTCTTACTATTTTTACCTCTAACACCAGGTTACCTCCATCTCCTTCATTGGCAAACATCTCCACTTATATTTTGGATATGTGTGTATTTTTTGGGGCCAAAATTAAGGCAAATGAACAGGCTTTAAAATTATACCACAAACTCCATATATTCCCCAACACCAACGAGCCCCTAAGTCAATTCCTCCATGTCATAACACACTTTACACTTTAAACATCACAGTTGAGATCACTGCTACAACCAAGCTTGTCAGGTCCAACAGAGACTGTGTGGGACATTATTTGTTCGATTTTGTAAAGTGTTTTATGGCGCTCGCAATTGCATAAGGTCATATGAGCACGCGGGAAACACCTAATATTTTCAGTTGGTAGGAAATTTTGAAATTTGCCCGGGTGGCGGCCAAAGCCTACTCATCGATTTTAGACTACCAAGGGATCTTTAACGTGCGCAACTTGCACACGGGCCCTCCGAGATTTTTCGCCCTTGTCCGAGAAGGCTAGGTGTAGATCTTTCCAACCAGAAGATCAGGGGTGTGGCAGAAAGACAGAAGTAAGGAGGAGCCAAGGAGTAGCAGTAGAAAGGCTGCAGAAAGAGTCAGGAGCCCAGAGGAGGGGGCAAAGGAGGTGGCAAAGGAGGTGAGGGAGTGGGAGCAGAAAGTGGAAATGAAAGCAGACAACAGAACATTGCTAGAGAGCAGGAAAGGAGGTGAAAGGAGACAATTTTAGAGAAGAAAATGTTTCGGTCGCTACCCAGATTCGAACCCGGGATCTTTGAATGAGAGGCCAACACCTTAACCTCTAGGCCACGAGAGCCCCCCCCAAATATCTTTGGGACATTATGTCCTTACAGAGATATGATGGAATCTGATAACATAAAATATTTTCTTAGTGGCAAAAAAAATTCAGGTGTTCTGTGTTCATGGTGAACAGCTTTACTATTATACAAAGATTCAAGTAATCCTTCTCACAAAACAGGATTCATCATGTAAAGATGAATAAAGAGTAAGATTAATTTTTAAAACTGATATCACAAAGTTAAAAAAACAACTCAGCAACTAAAACTAAGAAGTAACTAAAAAAAACACAGAGCAATTTGCATTCATGAGAACAAATCTGTAAAACCTGATAAGAATTGTCGAAATTGTAAACTTATTTGAAATTTTAAATATTGTATTTTGATTTCAAAAGTTATGATGTAGCATAGAAAAAAGAAATCCAATAGTAGTACTCACATATTTCCGCACTTCATCCAGGATACTTGAAATTGTTGCATTTGGATCATCATACTGGAATAGAAGAATGAGAAAAGCAATCTTAAAGACATGCAATTGAAACAATAACATTCCACACTGACCACAAAAAGAGAATCACAATCAGTGACAGTCCACCACCACCAACCACTGTTATAATGGCAAAGAATTTAGAAAAAGCCGTATTTATATAAGATTAAAAAGGCAAAGAGATTGTTTCATTTCAAGTTTAATTAATAAGAACAAAGAAAAGTATAATCTTTCCACTTTTAACCCAAAAATTAAGAAAAATATAGTTACACACTTGCTCTTACTGCCACCAGAATTAACCAACCACCTGTACAAAAGGCCTCTTCCACCCCCCTCCCCCCACCTCCCTTTTCCATTATTTTTTTAACTTTATAATAACACATAAGATAAGCTCACCTCTTGTGGTTGTTCAAACTGGCGTCCTGCTTTCCTCAACAACCATGCTGCTAGTGACGTGAACATGTAGAATTGTTCACCAGGATTTGTCTGGATAGCAAAGTAATGTCTGCAAAAAGACAGCAAAATATATATATATACACAGTGGAACCTGTGCAAGACGGCCACCCATTGTCAAGGAGAAAAATGGCCGTATAAGACAGGTGGCCGTCTTAGGCAGGACTGATCCTTCCTTTCTGAGGTCCCAACCGAAGGTAGCCGCATTGTTGTAGTTTTTGTTGTTGTTTTCGCTGGCTTTTTCCCCTTTTTTTCTTTTGTTGCTGCTTTTGTGCAAGGTTGACAATAAAACGAAATGTGTCAGACAGGGAGGACCGGGTGCTATTGCAAAACAAACACATGGGTCGCCACCACTCGGAGAACGAGCGACGCTTCTGTCACAAGTTCACGTTGACGTCCATTGTTACTTTGTTACAGACTGGGTAAACAGTGACCACTCATCTCACTTTCGATCTGTGTATGAGTTCTGGGCGGGGCTTACGGCTTTTGAGGGATCACACGCTTACCTCACCAGCAGCTGGAAATTGGTAGCTATTGGTCAACAGAGGAAGGGGCCTACGCAACATGATCGGTTGGAGGGACTACCTAACAACAACGACAGGTGATTGAATTATGACGGCTCGCCCGCAACGCCAGGGGCCAATGCACAATTTATGACAAAAAGTAATGGAGTCACTAAGGTGGCCGTCTAAGACAGGTGTTATTGCTTAGTGTGATAGGGGTTGTGTGTTAAAATATGGTGGCCGCGGCCGCATTGGACAGGTGCCCGTTTTACACAGTTAAATTATATAGAAAAAACGCAAGGGGGGAAATGGAAAGTGGCCGTTTGTACAGGTGGCCGTCAGGGCAGGTTCGACTGTATATATATATATACATATGTGTATATATATATATATATATATATATATATATAGAGAGAGAGAGAGAGAGAGAGAGCATTGCCCATCCCGCAAATTTCTGGAGAGAGGGGGAGAGAGAGAGAGAGAGAGAGAGAGAGAGAGAGAGAGAGAGAGGGAGAGAGAGAGAGAGAGAGAGAGAGAGAGAGAGAGAGAGAGAGAGAGAGAGAGAGAGAGAGAGAGAGAAAGAAAATATTACACAGGTCAAACAGCACCTGTGTCACAGCTGTTAGTCACTGGTACTGGGTTCCGGAGCACGACTCATTAACCCAAACTCAAAATTATCAGGTTGCTACACCAGTGACCAATAAAGAAAGGGTAAAAGTAAAAAAACATTCATGACAATACTATCTGTGATCCGTATCATGTCCATGTCAAACACATTTTAACTCCTTATCTCCGGCAAGCCGCTCCCATATTCTTTTACGACGACTTCGACATCAAATTACTTTTCGGTTATAGCCGAAAACTGGTCTCTTTTATCGGCAGTTCAATAGATTTAGAACCAAAAAAGGGCCCCGGCTCAGTGGGTTTATCCATCTCGGAGAAAAAGAGTTAGTATAGGTCGAATAAGTTGTCACTGACCAGATATATAGGAGAACCAGCTCTAACAGTCACCTTTCCAAATCACCTGTCTGTACAAATGGTCACTTCCCTTTTTTGTGTTTTTTCTTCTATACTAAACTTGCCCAAAAAAGTTAAGGAACAGCTTGTGTTTTCACCTGTCAAATTTAAACTTTAATATCTCACAAACCCGTTAAGATCAGTCAACCAAACTTGGCACACGCACTAATGACTAGACACAGTTTGCCTGTATGGCAAATGTCCTGTCATCAGCTTCACAGCGACGACGCAGGGCATTCTGAAACACATTCGAAAAGCATGAAAAATGGGCTAGATTTCTCAGACTCAAGAATATTGGCATAGGGACTGTTAGCTAAAACCAAGCTTGGCACGTGCTAAACAGATGTCTTAGCTGTGAATATTGCTCACTTACAACCCTTTATAGGCCACCGTTTTTCAGGAATGTTTCATTACAACACGATAGTCCAAGAACGCTCGCTGCCTGAGGTTGACAATGGACAAGCCCTTACCTAGCTCCAAAATGGCTCCACATTCCCAGTTGTTTCACATCGACTTTGGGTGTCCCCATCAGTCATATAGAGGCTGCAAGAATGATGGCGAGCGACCGGAAGGGTCCAGGACAGACATCGACCAGGGTCGCCCCACTTCACCATCAACCGGTTTATCGTCAGACAGGCCGCGACGTCACGAACCATCATTGCAAACGGCATCGGGGACCAACTGCGGGTGACAGCCAATGTCCACAAGATCGAGGAGATGGTAAGGAACCGTGTCCGTAGAGCCAGGTTCGCTTCTCGTGTCCCTGCCAGGCGCCCAAGGCACACGCCGCCCCACAAAGCAGCTCTCCGGGCGTGGTCTGCTCGCCATTCACAGTGGACACAATGTCGACGGGACCAGCTTGTCTTCTTGGACGAATTCAAATTCAACTTGTTGCACCCAGACAGGCGAGTCCACGTCTGGAGGCGCCGAGGAGAGCTGTTCCACCCTGAGTGCATCCAGCAGGTGGCGCCGTACGGTGGAGGGTCTTTTCTGGTGTAGGGAGGCTTCTCAGCTCACCACAGGACCCCCTGTACAATATACTGGGCAATTTGACCGCGGCAAGGTACAGGGAGGAAGTCCTGCGTCCCCTTGCTGTTCCTCTCCTGCAGCAGATTGGACCCCAAGCTGTACTGCAGGACGACAACGCCACGCCCCATCCTGCATGCATAGTGGGGGACTTCCTGCAGCAGCGAGCTGTCACCGTCATAGACGGACCAGCTTGTAGTCCGGATTTGAACCCAATAGAGAACAATTGGGATCACATTGACCGGTGGATAAGGGACAACCACCCTCTTGCACAAAACTTTCAACAGCTCTTGGGTTGCCTCGTCCAGGAGTGACAGAACCTAAAGCAACAAGTTCTCCGAAGGCATGTCCTGTCCATGCGTCGGCGCTGTGCCGAGTGTTTGATCAGACGGAGAGGCCACATCCACTATTGACAATGTTCATGAAGAACTATGGCTGTTCAGACTTTTGAAATCCGACCTGTGTGACTTTAACTCATTTTACATGAACTTCTCGTTGTCGTTGAAATCTGAAATTGTATACTCTTTATCTAGAGAGTCGAAAGCATCTTTTTTTTTTAAATTAATAAATTCGGTTAAACTGTTCTTCGGTTATCATTCTTTGAATTTTTGTTCCTTGACTTTTTTGTGCGAGTTTATCATGACATGGTCCAAAATGCCCACCTGTCTACGACAACTACTTTTTTCCTCCACAATGGGTGGTCCTTCTGGACAATTTCGACTGTATTCATACAAACAATAAAAAACTAAAGGTAGTAAGTATATTTTCAAAAGACAAGAAGACTTTAATTGACATGAGGTGACGGTGCAGGACAGACATATCTTGAGAGATCTATAGACTGTGACCTCTTTACTTATGCGGAGGTGACGAAGGCTTATATGATGAGGATAATATCCCGCTTTAAATACTAAAGTAAATCTTATAATAACCCCCCCCCCCCACTAAAATATGGGATTGCAGTTTATTGAGGATCTGTAGGACATAATTTTCCAACAAAATCAAAGTCTTTGACCATAAATACAGGACAAACCAAAATAAAAATCTGGTGAGTAGGTTATTCTATTTTTTTTTCGGTCTCATGCTTGGTTTGGTGCCGGATATAAAATGTAACTTACTTAGAAAAAAAAAGTTTTGTCAACACCAAAGTTTATTATGCTTTAAGAAGAAAAAAAAACATGAAAATGGAAAATTATGGTATTCGATGATGCTGATGCTGAGTAAACTATCAATACAAAATACCTGTTGATAGGCTTGAGGTTCATCTTCCTGGAGAAGTCTTTATCGTAGTCCAGCAGACGCAGCTTGTCCAGCAGTTCTTCCATGATGACAAACGGCATGTAGACAAGACCGGGGCCTCCATCTTCCCCCTCATCGCCGCCTCTCTTCTTGTCCTCTGACATGACTGCAGTGCTTTCTTGACTTCGAATCAACAGGGTTTAGAAAAAATCCCGATGGAATGAAAAACAAAAGCATTTTAAAAATCTACTTCTTCACAACACTGGATATATATTCTAGTTATTTCAAGTTTTTAAAAAAATTAAAATACAACCCCAACTAACATGAGAGACAAAAGATACATCCTGTAAAGGCCTACACATTTTTTGAGGGACAAGCTTTAGGTGAGCGGGATGGGGGGAGAGAGAAAAAGATGGCCAACAAGGTCAGAGAAATTAGCGGGATGGGCAAACTGGTCTGCCCTTGGTTAACTTAGCAATCAGCATAGTATAAGAGCAAAAATGATTTTTTGTTTTTGTTTTAGTAAAAGTATTTTACTGCACTTGCAGATCAATATATGTGAGGCACTGTGGTGTGAAATCAGGTACTGTTCAAAATAAAGAAATCAAATTAACTGGCATTTTTCTGGCCCTTAGGCATTTTTTTTTTTTTTTTGAATTTTCTTCTTTTTTTTTTTTAGCTCAAAACCTTTTTAAAGGCATTTTAAAAACACATTTCTGTATGGATTTTATGCTGAGAAAAAAAAACCCATTAAAGACACAAAAAATGTAAATTTTCAATTTCCAAGTGTGCTCTCTAGCTTTGAAAGTCCCCTAACTTCAGCGGTCATTTTTTTGAAAGTTTTACCCCTGAAACCAGACGACCCCTCTCCTTCAATCGTAAATATCACGATTATCATTCCAGATAGATTAAGGATATTTTTTCCCCCAAAAGCATGACAAATGAACAGGCTTTAAGATATCAAACTCTTATAAATGCCCAAAAATTGATAAGTGCTGAATTCCACCACATCATGACACATGGCCATATGGGTGCCGAAGATTCGAGATTTTATAAGAAAGTAACAAACACAAAAAAGGAGGAAAGAATCTGTAAGTGTTCGGATGAATGATCAGAGAGGTTTAGAAGACCTGACAGCTAGCCAGAGCACCCATCAACCATCTATGCAAATGATTATTGTTGCAGCAGCTTGCCACAGCTAAGGCGAACAGTAGTTGTGCTCAGTGTACAGCACCTCTTATTATCAAACCTTATGGGGTTCCCATTGGCACGATCAGTTCGGTTTGGTTTCAAAGCCAGATAGATAATTGAGGGCGTAAAGCGACCATCATGACACAAACCGATAGCCTGACTCGCAGCCTCAAAAACAAACTTGTTTATTCTCAGGTGACAAATCAGGCTATTTGTTTGCTTTTTAGCAGTAAATAATCCACTGCTAGGCCTGTCACAGTTTCACCAGAGGCCCGTCAGCCTGCAACTTTTCGGGGGGACCCCGGTTCTCCTTCATGGCTAGCGTGACGCCTCAGTCAAAGGCATAATAAAGCCACACCGTACTTCGTTGAACCCAGCAATCCCCTACTTTGTCCAGTTTCCACCTCCCGGGATGTGGACAAAAGGGTAAGCGGCGGATAAAAGTAAAGTAAAGCAAATCAAATGAATGTGGATGATCAAATTGACATTTTAAAAACAAAGAAAAAAATGTCAGTATACTGTAAACTAATTTAGTCGACTACAAAGATGCAACGACTATTTCATTTTTCTATCGAACTGAACTACGCCGGTCGCCATTTTGTTTTGCGCGTAAGTTCTCGCTCGCCTTCTCCCTCTCACTCTCCCCCCCTCCCTCTCTCTCTCACACGCACAGCCTGCAGACAAAATTGCACGCTTTCAACACAAGAGCGCTGGAACATTTTTACTCTAATATCACGGCGAATGCACATCGGGTGAGAATAGCCAAAAGGCTCGTCCTCTCACCCCAGGTGAGAGACCTACACAACTCAGTGACAACTACGCTAATCTCACCCTGGGTGAGATTAGTGAGAATCTAGAGGTGGCCTTCCTCGAAAACCCAAAAATGAAGTGAATTATTATGAACTTCACACTTCTCTGGCCCAGGAAATCTCTTTCAGAGAATGAGAAGTAATTATACCTGAATCGTTACGAGTTAATAGGCCTACAGGGTCTACTGTCTACAGTCTACACTACAGACTACACTTACAGTACAGTCACAGAAAGAATGCCTGCCGGTGACTGCCAGAACAAAGTGAAATGAGAACTGAATAAAATCAAAAACGTAAAAGAAGCAACCCCCAATAAATATTTTTTTAAAACCCATTGAGAAACTTCAGCTCACCTTCAAGCACAAGGGCGTTGAGATATGAAAAACAAAAATAAACATACAATAATATATTTTACTAGGCTACCGCGCGTTTCCACACGGGTCGACTTGTTTGGTAGCCTACAAACAGTGGTTCTTCGCAATGGAATGTTTTCTGAATTTCCGGAAAAGGGGAGGGACTATTGTGGGTGTGTTTGATTATATATATTATTATATATCTTATTTACTATATACTAAGTACCTTTTTGAAACAAAAAAAGCTTTCGAAAGTGTTCAATCTGAATGTATGCTAATTTATGATTGACATTTTTTTTAAAAATAATAAAACTGTTAGGCCCAAGTTCACATCAACAAAGCTCCCCAAGAGTAACCAATGTAATCAACATGGCGGACCTTCCGAAACCACCGAATCAACCGTCCGAGGCCGAACTCAATGACTTCTTGTCGAAAGTTGATGAAATAGGTACGACTAGTATTGTTGAGCTTATTTCGGTGTTTTAGACTGTGACACCTTTTACAAACGAGTGTACACTCAGTTATTTCCGATTACAACCATCGACGGGGGGGGGTTCTCAGATTGTTTACTAAGACTAAGAATCAAAAAGTAGCGTGCCGTAGGCCTACCGACGTAGATCTAGACTAGGTACCCCACAATTTATGTCAGAAAATTCCAGAAGAAACCATGATTCTTGTGCTTGATTTGGTCGACTAAGTACTTTGACTGAGGTTCATAGACATCCTTTGTGTTAAGTTTTAGTAAGGGTTTTACGGCACTTGCAACACAAAAAGGTCATATGAAGTGTCGAAGATAAGAGTGATACAATTAATTGAGTAACAAACACAAAAAAGAAGGAGTGGAGATAAAGAGGATCAGCTATGTTGATTTGCTTTCACATGTTTGGTGAATGTAATTTTTTCCGTCAAAATTTTTTTTTCTCAACAACATATCTAACCCTTTGTAATGCATTCCCTGTTCAAAATTAGGTGCTTTTTCGGTAGTTCCCACCCCCCTTATTTGAGCCTGACCTACATCTAGATCTAGATCTATACTTTTGATTCGCGGTGAGCTAAGATATCAAACCTAACAACTGCAAAACATTAAATTATGGTAAAATTCAGGGGGGCATGCCCCCCTGAAATTTTATTAGGTTAGGGGGGCAAGCCCCCCTGAAACCCCCCTACTCTTGTGGCCCAAACCCGTGAATAAAATTGCGGGGTGGGAACTACCGAAAAAGTGCCCAAAATTGATCCTTGTTTCATATTGGGATGTATTTCCTCATTCAATTTCTTTCAATTTGATTATATCAAATGTTACGTTTTGAGTGATGGTTATGCTTCTATGAAGTTATTTTGTACACCACCTGCATAGCCAAATCGAGAGTAATTGTGTTTAGACCCCCCAAAAAAGCTATGTTCGGAAAGAGCATCCGTTTACCCTTTCAGTAACATCCTGAAGCGGTGGAGCTTGAACTTGAAGAATTTCTCCTATTCATCACAAACAATATATATATTATATCTCTTATATTTTTAGTTATTACTAACATGATAAAATGGACATAATTGAAGAGTAGTAGGCCCTATACATGTCAAATCAGTGGTGTGAGTTTTTGATTAGCAGTTTAAATTAAGGAAACTTGATGGTGAGAAAATTAAGTACCAACAAAGTGGCTGATTTACAAATGCAAAGGAGAGTGGGTGGTTGGTCGGTGCTCTGGTGTGGTTTGCTTCTCCTCTATTAAAAATATGAATCATATACAGGCCAAGAGCGTAATCCATAAATTTCTGAATGCGCAGCTTTATTTTTTAAGCAATATTCCAATTTTTGTTTGAGTTATAATGATATTTATACTGAGTCCGGTTTCATCATTTTGTTGATGCAAGACCACAAGAACTAATTCACTCATTTTTCCCCAAACCCACGCTTTGACAAAGTGAAACTAAATGTTTTTTATTCCAAAATCCTTTCTGAGTTTTTCAATAACAATAAAAAGTAATTATAGATGACGGATCGTGTTAAAACGAAACCATACTGAGGCAAGCTATCACAGCTGATATATATCGGTGACTCATCCGCAAGGGATGTGCTCTCGCGCCGATATATTCAGCGATACATCCGGAAAGAGTTAAGAGCAATGTTTCATTGGGTGGACACATCCTTCGAAC